TCTTCTACTTCCTAGATAGGACATAATATTTGGAGTTACTCTTGTTGATTTGAGAGTTATTGGCTCAACACATTTGGCATCATTATCTACTCTGGTCTCAGCTTGGTTCAAATTTCCTTGAAGTTTTAATATGCTATTCAGAGGCAGCTTTTTGTCAGAGGGCAGCAAAATGCCATAGCTGAAAGATATTGTGAATATAAGAGGACATTTCTCTACTTGCCTCTAGTACAACACATCATAAAATAAAACCAAGTTATTTTCCCCCAGTTTAGATATTTTAGCACTTTGTCAGTGTTGAATGTGTGATACACAAATGGTCAGTCTCTCATTACCCTTTAAATTATGGATATATGAAAATTAACATGCCCCTGAGAACACAAACAAAGGCAGATCTCTCAGAAATTCAAGTTGTCTTTCTTCTCCCCAGTAAATTAAGTTCTCAGGCAGGGAGCCATCTGTGATAGCCCCAAAGAAGGGAGGAGCAGAGTGACAAAGCGCCCCCCTCCCCCACCAGGAAAAAAGATATGGTGGAAGGCAAGAGGTGGCAGTTGGGACCGTCTCAGGCTCTAGGAGATTATAGAGAAGAGAAGAGGACAGAAGTAGAGACAAAGCAAGATTTGTGATGTTTGCTGTCTAATTTCTGATTTCTGGGCTGGTATCCCAGTGAAGATAGGCTGAGAGAAAGATGCAAACTTCGAGGAGTTATCTGGGATCCTTGCATCACACAATGTCAGAAGGCACAACTTTGGGAGCAGCCCTTCAACAACTTGAGGCAGCTGCTTTAGAGTAAAATGGCAAGGGCTATGAGATTGCATGGTCCTGGCGGCTGCCTAATCTTCCTCGGCTTCTGGTGATATGGAAAATTACTCATAGCTTTCATGTGGCACTAGTAGAGCACACAGGAGTCACTATTGCTGGCGATAAGCTTTTCAGGGTCATCCTGCAGTGAGAGCCATGTCTCCAGGGCAAGAACCAAATAGGATTCACAGCCAGACCTTAGGGGAAATATACAGCATCACCAACAGCTGAGGGGAGTCTGAGTTAACAAACTAGACTAGTCTGAGAGAAACTAGAGCACAAGCTCTCCAGTAACCTTCCCAGACTTCAACAACGTGAGCTAGCAGGGAGAGCAGGGACAAGATGGACAGGTAACATTCTTTCCACAGAAGCACAAGGATCCACTCCCAGATAGGAGTACTCCCCCTCCCCACCATCACTGCCACAGGACACATAAGACCATGATCCCAGAAGCCATCTTTGTCAGGGACAAGGCGGAAAGTGAAAAACTGGGAAAGAATAAGCATTTAAAAGGCATAGACTAAAAGAAGACATTTGAAAGCAGAATATGATAAACCCTTAATTTAAGTTTCCCAGGCCCACACTAACAAGTAGGGTAGGAGTTTGGGGACTGAAGGGAGTGCTCATAGGGGAGATTGAATTAATTGTTGAAAAATAAGATAGCCACATTTTCTTTGCATTTTTATGCCTAGAATGAGTAAATGAGCCATTCTGCTATAGTAGCTAATGGAATGAAAAAGTTTTAAGTGTATTGATAATTCAGCAAGCAGGTCTTTTGATGAAGCAATCAATCAGCTAATCACTGGATCATAAATCATGAACTGGTACTCAGCAAATTGGTGTTTTAGAAAACTGATCTTTTGATAAACTGCTATTCAGTGAATTGATCTGTTTTGCACTCCTGGTAAGAAAATGCAAAGACTCCCTACTTCCATGATATTTATTTTGACTCTGTACTGTTTTAGCCACTCAAATTTTGCACTAGTTGAAAACACTTTAAGATACATTTATATTGCTTCCATATTAGCACCCAAAGCTTCACCGTTTTGGCATAAATGTAAAATCTAATGAACCATGCATGACTAGTCATGAATCTGGTGTAAGTGGCTCTCTTAATACAGGTCCAGCCTTAGCAGAATCCTCCCAGGCATGATCAGAATGCAAAAGAGGAAAGGTAGGGTGGGGGGGGGAGGCGGAGAGAGGAGGTGGAATAATACAAATAACCCTGAAGCAACCCTCACTGATGCCCTGAAAATGTATGTCTTGTGCTGCTTGGAGATAATCTTCCCCACTTCAACCCACTTTGTAGTTTCATACCACACAGAATTCTTTCTTATGGCAAAACTTTGTTGGTACATAGTATGCAACAGTTTTTTCTAAGGTCTGCTTTGCCTAAGTTGAGATTCGAGTGTCCCCAGCACATCTGTAATAAGACATCCTTACAATAAAAATTATCCCAATGTCATACTCCACAATGTGGAAGGAAGCCCTTGCTGTCTGATAGGTTCCATTTTAGCTCTCAGCTTCAACTCAGTGCAAGCAAGTCAGGGCCTTCCATATCTCCCAGATACCACAGGTCATTTCTGCCACAGCACTGTCTCTTGTTCTCCACTGTCCCCCCTGCCTATGCCCTGCTCCATTTTTAAAGCTTTCTGATCTCAAGAACCACACAAAACCTTCCATCGACTACCAAGGCCCCCACGGTGATCTCTTCATTTCTTGGAGACCCTATAAGCACTGTTTACCTGCATCGTTCACTTTTGGCTTTCAAACTCCATACATGTTAAGTTTTACTTCTTTCATGTGTGTATCACTCCAAACACCAAAACTTCCTGAATTCAGGTGTTGTATCTGATATTTCCGCACCTTGTTCTGTGATGAGGACATCTACATCCCCTCTGATAAAGCTTCCAGAATTGAATGAAACTTTCAGCTGTAGGTTAAACACTTTGCTATGGTTTAGAAATAATTCTGCTTGCTCATATGTTCAAAATAGACACCATATCTAATCACTTAGGAAAAAGAATGCTTTTGGAAAGATTTATATAATGATGGGAAATGATGGTATTCAGAAATAGAACTGAATTGGTTCTTTGAAAAACAACTTTGGAACATAATAATCTTCTTAAAAATGTGTTGAACAAAGCATACAGATCCAGCATATACAGATATGTCGGGGGAGGGGGGGACAAATTAATTTAGGATCCAAATGAGATAATAGAGACTGAGCAATTCACTTAATAGAGAAAAACCTTACAAAGTGCAAGACAAGGAAATAGAGAAAGAATTTATCTTCATGTCACATTAGGTCATAAATTGAATGTAAGGGTATTTTTAGAGTAAATATGACATTAAAGATGATGAATAAGGCATATAATACTAATGAACAGGGATTGGAAAACAAACTAATTTTTGACAAAGGGCTCATACACAGGTCTATCTTTAAATAGCAAGTTTCTTAAAGTTTCCTTAAATGAACTTAAAGTCATTTATTAGTGCAGTTCATGCATATCTCAAGAATAAATGTATTAAATATTTGTGGGCATTAAGATATAGT